TTGAGATTTTGGAAGCATTTTGATCTAAATGAAGTGTTTGATTTGAATGAAAGTTAGCTTATTTTTACTCTTTTTTGTCTCATGGACGGTCGAGGCGATCGTCCACATGGATGAATAGCTTCATTTTGGTCAATGTGGACGGTCGCGGCGATCGTCCACATTGATGAATAGCTTCATTTTGGTCAATGTGGACGGTCGCGGCGATCGTCCACATTGACGAATAGCTTCATTTTGGTCAATGTGGACGGTCGCGGCTATCGTCCACATTGATGAATAGCTTCATTTTGGTCAATGTGGACGGTCGCGATGATCATCCACATTGATGAATAGCTTCATTTTCGTTCACATTGAGAACAACAAAGCTCACACAATAGTTCATTTCCAACATTGCATAGTTCACAGAATAGTTCACTTGGCCATACTAGTACTAGGCAAGCACATAAACATGCCCTGCTTGTCTAGTTCAAAAGACACTGTTGATGGTTTGGATGAAACCTACATCATGAGAACACTAGGTTTAATTTCAAACCAATCAGTGCTAGCCCAAAAGAAGCTTTTTAGTTTTCAAGCTCAAACTACAACATCAGAACACTTCTTCTATACTTCAGGAACTGTGTTCTCCTTGGTCTTCACTACCCTTTTCTTCCTCTGCCTTTTTAAACCAAGAGTTGCTGTAGTAGGTCTTGGCTTTGGAATAGCATCTCTACAGTTTGCAATGAATGCACTTTCTGGTAGAGGGCCTTGAGCAGTGGTTTGAGACTGCTGAGTTGATATGGCCTGAAAGAGCAAAAAATATTTTGAGTTTGAAATGGTTTGAGATCAACACAGTTAACTTGAGTATTACAACATACTTGTTCCTGTAGTATCTCCAACACTGAAACATTCTGCTCATACACATGTCTTGTGGTAGATGCAGCCACACTAGTGAAGAAAAGGACCTCGGGTGGGTCAACGCGCCACGAGGGCAGGTCAGTGAGCGCTAGTGAAGAAAAGGACCTCGGGTGAACCACTTATGAAAGAATTGGGACCTAAAGGTGCACTTTCAAAGAAATAGGACTAAAGTGACACAACAACAAAACTTTTAGGACCTCCAGTGCATTTAACTCTTGGAAAAAATGCCAAGAAATCTGATGGCGGGGAGTTAGCAAGAAGATCACTCTCAAAAATCTTACTAGGGTAAAAACTGGCAAGACTTTCGCTAAATGGGGTAATTAGAATGAAAAAATGTTAAATGAGATAATTAGTGTAAAAAATTGGAAGTAAAGGGTAAAAACTGGAATTCACTCTAAAATTTACTAGGCGATCTTGAATGGTACGAGGAAGCCGCTAGCTGAGACTGCGACAAGGAGAAGAAGGTAGGCGAACGGCAGCAGGCGCCTCGCGAAGGTGTGGCAGCGCGGCTCGTCGGAGCGGAGCAGGACGAAGCCGTCGCCATCTCCACGACGGCGGCGGTGAGGACAAGGATGAGGGTGAAGTAGTAGACAGCCGGGCCAAAGATCGGTCCGGCCGACGGCAGGTGGAACGCGGTGGTCATGCCCATGACCAGCGTCACAGACCCTGTAGCCCAGAGCGAGCGCGCCAGTTGCGCCCTCGTGGGCGAAGCCCATGGGCACAACGATTGAGCGATCTGGCTCACCATCGTGGCGGCTTCCAGGTCGGTGATGGTGCCGGTGGTGCTACTCATCTGCAAGGCGGACGCCATTAGTGATCGGCTGAATTGCTGGCCACTAAACAAGCAAGAGAGGAGGGAAGAGCACCAGCAGTCCTCTGTGTGACTGCGTCTGGGCTCTGGCGAAGGGCAAGCAATGGGAGGGAAAGGGGAGACAGGCAAAGGACAAGGGAAACGGGGCCAAGGGTGCCATTATTTATGGAGGGAAAAGTCCAAAATAAACCTTGAAATTGTAGACGAAAACTAAATCAAACCCTGAACTTTGAATCCCGAAAATTGGCACTCTGAACTTGTAATCTCAGTCTATTTTAGACCCTAGACCTGTTTGGCACGCTGGGAAGACTACAATCCCGGCCGGGATTCCACCTATTACTCTCACGGACTAGAATTTGGGCCGGCCCACTATAAAACAACAAGAATTCGTGAGGTTTAAAAAATGTTCGTATATTTCTAAAATTGTTCAAAAGTTAAAAATGTTTCTGTTTTCTATTTTTCGCACAAATTCAATTCGTTTTGTGTTTTTAAAAACTGTTTGGAATTTCGTGTTTCGCACAAAATCAACTCTATTAGCATTTTAAAAAACTGTTCGCGATTTACAAAAAATCATATTTATCAAAAATGTTCAGAATTCCAACAGTTTTTCACATCCTATGAAAAATATTTCGTATTTTCAAAATTGTGTTACATTTTTTAATTCTGTTTTTGTAATTTCATAAATTATTTCATAAATAATGTATTTAAAAAATGTTTCGGATTGTTGGGAGTGGACTCGACTGCGCCAACCCACCAGACATGTAGCGAGTTTTTCTTTCCTTAACACACCACGTACAAAATTCTTTCTTTCTTTTTCTTAATGGCGACGTAATAATTCCAAAACAAAAAAAACATGATGTGGAGTCGAACTTGGGCCTGGTAGCCACTACACCAGACGACTATGACTGGCATAGTCAGAGGCCCAAAATATTTAATCAGAAACCAAAGCGCCGAACTTTGTAAACATTTTTAGGGGAAAACAATTATTAAAAACATATTTATTTATGAAATCTTTGAACATTTTATAATGTGAGAGAACTTTTTGATAATTTCGAATATTTTCAAAAACCAACAACTTTGAAAAAGCAAACACATTTATAAACATTTTTTGAAACCTGAACAAAATTTAAAAGTGCAAACACTTTTTGAAACATAAATTTTTTTCTGCAACCTGAACAAAATTTTAAAGTGCGGACATGTTTTGATACATAAACATTTTCTGAAACCTGAAAATATTTTGTGACATCTAAAAAATATCACAAGTTTCAAAAAATGTATGGGCCAATCCAAATGTTTATACAATGTATAATAATATTTGTGTGATTCAAAAAAATGTTTTATACATTAAAAAATGTAACATTTCAAGAATGATCACGAGTTCCAAAAAATGTGTTTGTGACATTTTTAAAAGAATGTTTTTACAATGTAAAAAAATGTTTGCGTGATGTAAAAAAATGTGCTAAAACCTTAACAGAATATATGTGGCATGCCCTTGAAAAAAGTGTATGCAAATTTAAAAATGTTGAACCACGTAAAAGAGTGTTGTGTAGTTTTATAAAATGTTTATCATCATAAAGAAAATGTAAAACATGTAGTTGAAAAAAATATTACCATGTATTAAAAAAGTTTTGAAAACATGTAATTTATAAATGTACATAACATATTTGAAAATATCAAAAGTTTATCCAAAAATATTTAATGTGTGCGTTAAAATGTACATTGAGTACTGAGAAAAATTAGACATGTGTAAAAATGAAAACGAAAAAGGAAGAAACTAAAAAAAAAACAGATTAGTGTGCGCGCGCGAGCAACTGCGCTACTGGGCCGGCCCAATTCAGCAAAGCCGGCTATGTTCTGTCAAGGTTTAAAATAGACCGGGGTGAAAGAGTTTGGTGTGCTGATTTCAGAGATTGAGAGTTCGAGATTTGATTTAGCTTTCGCGTATAAATTGAAGGTCGATGCTCATTCTTTACTCATACGTCTAAGCGTGTTTTGACATCAAACTGGTGTCTGGACAATCCGGGCACCCATATATCCAGACCAGGGGGGTTATGGTTGTCTGAACTATCATTTATGTTATCTTCAACATGTGGGCACAACACAAAAATCCCTTCCCATTTCCTATGTGACCCTCCGCTTCTCGCTCGGTTTCACGCCATAGTGGAAAATTTCTTGCTAGAGTCCTCTTCTTTAAAACCAAATGATGCCACCTCACCTTCTCTCCTTCACACCATACTTTCTCATGGATTGCCAAGGAGGAGTCCCTCGC